TTTTACTCTTTATTTTTTTATTACTATTATTATTTTATTATAAAATTTCCAAGAATTCGTCCTTCTTTTATTTATTTACTTTTTGTATGACTCCATATATTTGAAAAGTTGTTTTGGCGCCGGTTCTTTATTGTATTTTGGGTATATACAGAAATCACCGATTTTTAAAAAAAAATGACAAAACGTTCTATAGATTGTATATAAATCGATACTATACTTTTTTTTAGCGGAACCACTATTACACCTAAACCTAATTTTTGCCATCTAATAATTTATGACGTCACTTTAAATATAGTTTAAAATTTATTTTAAACTTCTAAAATTTCTACTTTAACACCCTGTAATTTTTTTACTATCCTTTTTTTATATGATCAAGTTACATTAAATCGGCTTATTTTCGATCCCAGAAACTTCGGTTTAATATACTATACAACTTTTTGTTACACCCTGTATAAATAATGAAGATGTCCTAATTTTGTTTGATATGTAACAAGCAGAGTGATGATCATATGCACAGCAGTCTCTTACTCTGATAATTTAAAAATAGTATTGCTGTGTAAATTGGGCTTGTTGGTGGGGGTTGGGAGCTGGAAATGGGAGCTAGCTCCGGGAGCTATCTTCACACAAGTCTAAGAAAGAAATATCACAGCGGTGTTTGACCTAAATATCAGTATAAGATATTTAATTTTTTTTAAAGCATATCTACAAAACATTTATTTTTCAAACCTTAATAATTTATAAAATGTAGATTAATAAAGACATTGTCATAATAAAAACGTAAAAAGTCAATATATTTTTTTAATACATTATTGCTTTTATTTTTCAAATGAAAACCCTCTATAAATTATCCCAAAAATATTTTCCTATATTTATCCCACCCAACATGCAATTTTAAAGTAAAATTTATTAACATAATGAAGGAGTCATTCCATTTAAAAAATCGTCTAATTGGCAAAGCTGGCCCATCTTAGATTTTCTTGTAACTTTGAGGAACTATTCCTTAGGGTCCCAAAGAAGAAAATTTATACAATAACAACTCTTACTCTATAGACGAAC